TTCAGCATTTGGTTCTTTGGGATTGGCTTCTTTCACTTAGCATAATATTCTCCAGTTCCATCCATTTACTGGCAAATGCCATAATTTCATTCTTCATTAAGGCTGAGTAATATTCCATACAGTCAATAGTTACTGTTGAATATCACAGTTTCTTATTCACTCATCTGTTGAAGGACACTTAGGTTGGTTCCACAGTATAGCTATTGTGAATTGAGCTGTTATAAACATTGATATGGCTGTGTTACTATAGTATGTTGATTTTAAGTTCTTTGGGTATAAATCAGGCAGGGAGATAGCTGGGTCAATGGTAGTTCCATTCCAAGTTTTCTTAGGAATCTCTGTACTGCTTTTCAGAGTGGTTGCACATTGGAGGGCTTTTTAAACACAGACTGAAGGATAAATTTCTCATTCAGGAAGTGTTGGTGGGGGGGCACAAATGAGCATTTCTGACAGGTGAAGCCATGCTGCCATCTTGGGACCACACTTTGAGAGTCATGATTTAGAGAGATTTGAGCACCCCCTGCCGCGAGATGACACAGCTACTCCTTTTAATCAGTGTCCTACAGTGACTATGGACTTTTCTACAAAGATGGTGTGAGACTTGAAATTCGAATGGTTCAAAGACCAAAGCTCATTGGAACCAAATTCATAACTGCTCCACCTATTAAGTATTTTCCCATCATTTGTTTGTTTGTTTTAAACAATTTAATTTAAAAAAAAAAAGATTGGTTTACAATAGTGTTAGGGAAAGAAATGTGCCTAGGAGAAATAGAAAGGATATACTATATATACAAAAGAGATACCAATGTATCAGTTTTAAAAATAGTTCATTGCCAGTAGCTTTGGTGTTCTTGATTATGTCATCCTTTGCTTTTTACTGTATTTGTATTCACAAGCAATATAATTTCCAGTCTTGCACACACATGAACCTAACAACTTCATTACACACATACACGTATTTTGATGTCTGTAGCTGTGGTTAATTCATTTTCACTGCTGTACATTTACTTATGAATGTACTAAAATTTATCCATTCCCCTAATAGATGTGGATTTTTTAATTTTTAATTTTTTTTTTTTTTTTTTGCTGCCAGGTATTGGACCCAGGGGCCCTTAACCACTAAGCCACTTCTCCAGCCCATTTTTATTTTTTATTTTTAGACAAGGTCTTGCTAAGTTACTTGGGGCCTTGCTAAGTTGCTGCGGTTGGCTTTGAAGTTTTGATCCTCCTGCCTCAGACTCTGAGGGGCTGAGATTTCACATGCATGTACCACCATGCTCCACCTGTTTTCAGTATTTTAAAGAAACTTATAAACAATAAGATCATAACTACTATTGACTTTTATTCATATCTACTCCTGCATATGAGCAATACTATTTCTATGGCAGAGCCCAAGGGAGGGGAATTGTCAAGTAGACTATGCCCTTCTCCATCTTTACTAAATAACTATCCAATTATTTCCCAAAATAAGGATTTACCCACACCTTTACCATGCTTGATATTGCTACACTTTTTAATTTCTGCCAATTTGATAGGTTTAACATAGTATCTTATTGTGCTTCTAACTTGCATTTTCCTGATTGATGATGTAGTTGAAAACTTTTCTTATATTTATGAGACTTTCATTGTCTTTGGAATGACTTTTGTTTTTTTGCCTGATTTCTAGTAGCAAATACCATATTTCTACTGCTTGTTTACCTCTATTTGATCAGTTTAGAGAATTTCTTCCTATTCTGGTTACTAACCTTTTGACATTTAAGTGTTTTATAGATGTCTCCTTCCATGTCTTGTCTTTTTGATTTTTTTAATGATTTTTTTTAACCATATCAGGGATTGAATCCAGGGGCACATCCCAGCCCCCCCCCTTTTTTTTCATTTTAGGACAGGGTCTAAGTTTCTTAGGTACTCACTGAGTTGCTGAGGTTGGCTTTGAATCCTCCTGCCTTATCTGCCTGAGCTGCTGGGATTACAGGTGTGCACCACTTATGATTTTTTGATGGATGAAAAATTTAAATTTTCTTTTAGCTTAATTTATAAATCTGTCTCCATATATTTATGGGGATTAACCCCCATGTGTCTTTAAGACATTCCTCTTCCTCTGGAGATCATAAAGACATTCTCCTATATTTTTATATAAAAGTGTTTGGCTTTTTTCCTAAAAGTTTGGTTATTTTTACATCTAACTCTTTAGCTCAGAAGAACTTTATTGTATGGTTGACATACTGATGGCTGCTTTTACCACTGACCTCTCCCTATGGGCTGCATCCACTTGGCTCCTTTTCTCTGTTCTGTGACCCCTAGGCATGTGTCCAGCCTGAGGTCAACACCTTTCTGTCTTAGCTACTACTGCTTTAGCTTTTTTAGATTTTAAGGGGTTAGTATCTGGTTGAGCTCTCTATAGAAGTTTGTCCACTTTATTTTGATGATAAGCTCCTAACTGGTTTTGTCTCTTTGTTCTACATAAATTTTAGACCTAGTTTATATTGTATGAGAAAACATTTGGAGACTTCTGGTAGAAAATGAACAGATTAGTTGGGAAGAAATTATATCTGTACAATATTAATCATAGTTCTCTCTCTCCATTTATTGATGTCTTCCTTAATGCCTTTAAGTTGTTATTTTGCTATCTTTTTAGGAGTTATATTTGAAAACTATTTTGTGACTAATGTAGAGAAATTCAATTTCTTTTTGTTTGCTTAGCTTAAATTAAGAAAATTTGCCCATTTTTGGAGATGGTGGTGATGGAGACTCTGGGGATTGAACCCAGGAGAGGATTACCACTGAGCTATGTGCCAACATTTCAGTCCTTATTTTCTAGTTTGAGGGTCTTGCTAAGTTGCTGAAGCTGGCCTCAAATTTTCCATCCTCCTGCATCAGTCTCCTGAGTAGCTGGGATTATAGGCATGTGCCACTATCCTTGGCTTAAATTCTAATTTCTTTTCTAATAACTTATAAGTTATCTTGGGCTTTTCACCCAGTCATCTTCTGCAATAATGAGTTTTCAATCTTTCTTCCCTTACTTAAGCTTTTCATTCTTTTTCTTATTGAGTTGACTGGCTGGAACTTCCAGTCTAATGTTGAACACAGGTGCTGTCTCACTTCTGACTTAACAGGTATGCTTCTAACATTATGCTACTAATTATGTTTGTTCTAGGTTTTTGGCACATGACCCTTATCAGATTAATGAAACATTCTTTTATAAGTATATACTTATTTTTCTAAGAGTTTTGTTTTTTTTAGTTATTAAGGGAGGTTTTAAAACTTATTAAATGTAATTGCTATGTATATTGAGATAACTGGGTGCTTTAAAAATTTTGTTAACATCCTGATCTGGATATATTTTCTAATGTTAAGCCAAGTTTATGTTCCTGGAATAACTTGATACAACCATGCGCAGCACTCCACAAATCTGGAGCCCTGGGTACTGGGAATATATTGCCCTCTGGTGTCTATGTCTCCCCACCTCAATCCCCATCAGTTGTTGCTGTTGAGTAGCTTAATCTCATAGCACCACCTGGTGGCAATCTTTGGAAATTTCTGATTTCTGTCGACCTTGTTTTTCTCAGGGAAATGTGTACATGCAGCTTCCTGTTATCACTGCTAACTCCTTTAATTTTGTTTTCTTTCTTGTGCCTTTTATCCACTGTGCTCCCTCATCCTCCTTTATCTTACTCTTCTTCGTTTTCTCAGTATATTCATGAAAATCACTTCTCTTTTCCGTTCTTTGCTCTTTCTCTCACAATTTGTCCCTTTATGAATCTAAATCTACTTCAGCAGTGGTTAATCATGGTGAGAGTAGAACCAGCAACTAAAGAAAAAATACAACTGTATAGTTTGATGTAGAATAAAGGGTCCACTCTGCTAATTTCCCAAATCCTTGAAAATACTTCCCTTTAAAATGTTCTTAAATGTCAAATACTACTTAATCATCTTCTAATTAATTCTACCCAGTTGAACATCAAGCTCAAGTATTCAATTAAAGTTATAAAACTATTAATAAGTTTCATTGTATCTTTGTTCCTTTATTACCAGCTTTCACAAATTTGAGGTTTCTAAAGTATTTTACTATGCAGACTCAGTTTTTCATTATAGGTTAAACTACTTGGAAACAGAGCCATGATCTGTGACAGTTTTCAGAGGAAAACAAGCCAGCCCAGACGTGCTTTTGGTACATAATCTATGCAGAAGACAGAGACTGACTAACTGACTTCTGATTGTTTACCTACTAGTATGGAAAACACTGTAAGCATGATTCTCCCCGTCCAGGAACTGACAAACCAGTTGGCCAGTCCAGCAGCTTCTTTGTTGCCTTAGTCTTACTTTTGTTTTCTGGTTGGGCTGCATCTGAGAGCGGCAGATGAATCAACTAAGGAAGACAGAGTGGAGAAAGTGGGGCTCAAATTGCTCTCTGTGGCCCCTGGGATGCCAATGTGGCTACCTGGGAGGTCATTTTGTTTGTCTTAACCCACCCCAGTCCTGTGGCAGGCAGATAGTGTATATATTCAAAGATAGCAACTACTAATTTCAAAGTAGGCACCATAAAGTACTTTCTTCTATAAGCCTAGTTGTTACCTGAAGGAAATTCCAGCAGTGCCTTCATCAATAATATATAAAATCTACTAAAGCACAATACCCTGAAGTTCTGATATTTATGGCTTTGAGACCTGTTCATCTTGTGAAGCTGATTGTGACAGTTGCTACAACTCTTAGGGATATTCTAGCACCTATTTTGAGGGGCAATTTAGTTACTCTTATTTCTATATTCTAATAGTGTAGTTTCAAATGTGAATTTATTTATTTATTTTTTTAAAAAGAAGCTAAAGATTAGGAAAGAGTTTAGTCTGGAAATTTAGTTAACCAGTGGCTCCATGATACTCAGAGGTGTTCCTGGCATTCCAAACTATGGAATACGCAATCCACTACCCACCCCTCCCCCATTTTATTTTCTTCTGTGTTCTTGTTCCAAATGCTTTCTAACTTTTTGATGTCTCTTTTGAAAGGTGGGGACCCAAGTTGTATGCCTTGTTCCAGATGCGATCTTGCCAAAGCAGTATAAAGCAAATGTAATAGGACAAAGGCTCCCTGACCAGGTAAGTACAACTGGTAGCTGTTGCCAGGGCTAGCCCACCCTCCAAGTAGACCTGCCAGGACACTGGGTCACTCTAGCTAAATGTAATATATTTGCAATAATACTTCAAGATTTGGAATAAGTGTCCATTCCGACAATACTATTTTTTAGATGTTTTTCATGTGACAGGGAAAAACGGTTATATGTGTTCAAATAAGATGGGGAATTTTTAGAAATGATTTACTTCTTTGGCCTTGAATTTTGGATTGCTCTGAAATGAAGTGAAGGTCATGTTAGAATCTTTGGCATCTCTTGGCACCACCAGCACTGTTTTAAAATCCACTCAAAGGGCTGTGACACATCCATCATCATTTGCTGTCACTCATTTTGAAAGGGGTGTAGGTGATTGTGAATTTATAATTCAGGTAGTATTTGAACTAAAATCCTTAGTTAAAAGACATTTAAAAAATTTTTTTAGTTGTAGATGGACACAATACCTTTATTTATTTATTTATAACTTTTTATTCTATTTATTTATCTTTATAAATGCTGAGGATCAAACCCAGCACTTCACATGTGCAAAGTGAGCTGAGCGCTCTACCACTAAGCCACAACCCCAGCCCTAACACACATTCTTAGTGTTTCATAGATTGCTATGAACAAATTAGCTACTAATCTTTAAATCTTTATTTCAATGAGGAATTTTCATTTATGTAACACACTCCATTTTTTTCCATTTTGTTTGATTAGAAAAATTCCCCAAATTAAAATTCACCTAATTTTTTGTAATCTTCCCTCATTGACTTTCATCCGTTATGTTTTTCCTTTTTAGAGTCAATCCTTTGAGGGAGTCTGATTCTGAGCTAGTGTCATCATCAGCAGGAAAAGACAATTTCTGCATGACTCACCAGGAAAATCAAGCTCAAATGACAGATTTCGAATTATACAGAGATGAATTTATGAAGAGAGCGAGGGAGTTAGCAATTGTCACATCCTTCAGCCTGAAATGTTATGTAGTTGTCAGCCTTGGAAGGGTTACCGGGCTCCTCCATGGTTGATTATAATGTTACTGACCCAAGAAAAAGAAAGGGACTTCTGAGTGTTCTTCTAGTCCTCTTGCCACCCTTAGGCCTTTCCCACAGCGCTGTCATCCCGAGGGGACTTGTGGGATGATGGTGGTGAGGAATTAGAGGTGACATCTAGAGCCACAGACAAGATAGAGCTGACTGGTCTCTTCAGGATAGCACCCCCTAAGGTCCAGGACCAGATGGTATCCAAATTATTAATCAGCCCTGAGGCTGGCACAGCCGGTATATTCAGACCACAGACTTCTGGCTCTCAACCTCCAGGCCTATCTTTTTTCAGAGGCTTTAGGCTGATTTTAGTTTACAAGGCCAGGTAGACCTGACCTGTGTGTCCTTTCTCCTGGATTCTTGAAATGTGAAGTAGCCTGAGGCAAGATGGGGAGCTGATATAAAAGGGTAAACTCATTCTTGGGCACACATGCCCACAGGCTGCTCAACTACTTCTCTCAGGATTCATGTCACAAAGGTTTGTGGCTGTGATGTGAACATGTTTATGCTACAACCTTACACCTGCCTCTAATTCTGAAACAATGCCAAGTCTACGATGCTAGACTCTTTTTGAGCACAAAAGTCATCCTTGCTGGGTGGAGCCACCCCTATTCTGTTGCAGCCTGTGGTCATTCCATACCCCTTCATAGCTCACTGACCAACACCCCTGGGGCCTAATGTGAACTGACAGAACATGGAGAAGGCATTCAGGATCACGATTTTGCAGTCCCATTCTGGTAATGACTGAGTTTTCTTCTTAGTGACTTTGCTGTCGACTTTCTGTGTCTTCATGCAGGTCCCCGGCCGCTCACACATGGCAAGCGTTAGGATAAGGACATGCCAAGACAGCCCTATTGTTCTGAATGTGTGCATTCCCCAAAGTCTGAATCTCAGCTGGAACTCGATGGACCAGTATTCCCTCAACCAGGATTCTTGCTGATGGTTCTTCTCCTCATCTCTGTTGCTGTTGGTTTTCCCTTTCTTGCTCTTTCCAAACCTGTCTCGATTGCCTTTCCTAGGGACAGACCTGAGGAAATGGGCCAGGACTTGGGACTTCTGCCTTGCACCCTGCAGTCCCAAGCCAGCATCCATGGCACCCGTCTTCAAGGCACTGTCCCCCAAATGCCTTCAGGCATCAGCTTCTGAGAACCCACTGTTTCTGCATGATCAGCTTGTAAGGAGGAATCTATGGGGAGAATTTTCCACTTAAAAAAAAATGTGTGTGACTTTTTGGCTTCGATCTGAGAGTTAACTCAGTGGTGCACAGCTCTGTTTCCATGTGCACTTGTGTGGAATCTGAAGAAATTGATGCAACACACCCTTTCCTGTCTGGGCTGTTTGTATAATTGTATATAAATGTAGCAATAAATACAGTCTAATATCAGTGTGCATCTTACTTTCCACTTGAATCTGCATCCTGGTGGTAGGCAGTGACAATTATACTCTCAAGGAATTGGCTTCCTGATCAGTGGGGCCTGCCTGCCCCATCTTAGGTTCTGATCTCTTCTGATTTCACAGTGTTAGTCTGGAGTTGGGCAGTGTTTGGAGAAAGGGTTAAGGAGACTACAGTGGAAGGCCTGGGACATGAAGTGGCATTATTAATTCAAGAGATGGCACTGATCCTGGCATTTCAGGTTTGAATGCCCGAGGACTGAAGCTTAGAGGATTGGGTGAGAGTTTGCCATATGAGTCAGCTATTTTGATAGTCACTCATGTTCTTTAAGAATGTTTTCTGCTGCAGGTACTTGCAGGGCACAGAGGTCTAAAGATTTTCAGAAAACCCACACAAATATGACAACATGAAACAGAATTTTCCATCTGTCACTAAAGGTTTTCAAGGGTACTAAGTCTGGTTGTTTTAAAGACAATCTCCTCCTACAGGGGACACGTAAGCAGATAATGCTTTATTTGGCAGATGTAATACTGTTTGTCTAAAGTCAAGGAATATTTATTCTAACTGGTCTCTCACAATTCATTTGAAATCTCTGGTTATCATCATTTGTATGACTTAAGACCACAATCACATACTCTGTTGTGGTTTCTTACCAGACCTTTCCTTAATCACAAGCAAATTTGGCATAAAATTATTCAGTCATGAGGCAGGAAATGCAATGTAGCTGAAAGCTGGAAAGTCCTTCAGCAAGGGTTTGCAGCACTTGAAAGAGTACTTTTTGTGTATTAAATACACACCCACACACTGGAAGAGACTTAAGGAAATCATCTGGTTGAGCCCTCGGAGCCATTGAGCAGACAGTCTCTGCTGTCACCTCTGTTCTTACTTCCACCTGTTAATAAGTTCTTCAAAGAACCTGAGCCGCTGGGTCAAAGGATAAAGTCTGCCTTCCACAGCAGAGTCCCACAGGAGGCCACTTTTGAAAACCCTTTCTATGCATAGCTTTTTCTGGCTGGGACTAGTGATACAAGAAGAAATTATTAGGAAAGAGAAGGGGAAACATATCCTTGGCTTCTGGTTATAGTGTCATAAGAGATAAGCCTAATTAGAGGTAATGCTGAATAATCCACAGTGGCAGAAGATTGAGGATTCTCAGCCTGTGGGTGTTAAAGCTGGGTGTGGGTTTTGGGCTCTGTTACTAATGAGTGGCTGGAACTTGGCTCAGTCACCCCAATTCTTGGGCCTCTGATTCCTCTACTGTAAAATGATATGTTTGGACTGATTTCTACATCTAAATTTACTTCTATTCATGAAGTGCTCCTTTGGGAAGGGTAGCCTATTTTTAATGCTAAAGAGCAAGTCATGAGATAGCAAGAATGGGCAATGAGAAGCAGAAGGGAGTGATAAAAAGACTGCTCATGTTCAGATACTTAAAAATGAATTGTCAAAATAATGACAAGTAGCAGGTTGAACCTCTTCCAAGGAAAGAGGACATACTCAGCTCTCACTTTTCACATCCTGCTGGCTGGCTGTCTTTGTGTGTCGCTTCTGCACAGGACAGAAGGACTTCAGTCTCTGCTCGTCATTGGGACAGACAGGTGGAAAGCTGAAGCCTCAGAACAGGAAGCCACTTTCTTCACTCACAAACCACCAGAGCCACCAGACCAGGTGGGGCCATGCAGAGCATCCCTGGCCCTTATAACTGCTAGGCTTATGTCCTTGTCAAACTGTCTCCAATTGTCTATGAGCAAAGCTGATCCATATCACAACCAAAGGGGAGGAAAGCTATTCACTTAAATCCCAAATTGTCCACATTTGCCCTTAAGGAACATATTCCCCAGCCAGTTTCCCTCCAGTGTAGGTCTGACACTTACCAGCACAACAGCCCTGCCCTGGTGGTTCACTCTTCCCTTTCCAGGGAGATGGGATTTTGGTGAATTTGAAGAGGAGCCTGTGCAGCACTTTCCTTCTCTTGAATTTTCCTTTTGGAAGCCAGCTGCCTGCAGGAAGCCCACAGCTCCTCCATGCCATTGTCATACAGAGGCAGGCCAGACTCCCACAGGGTCAGTATTAGGGAAGAAGCCCAGTTGCTACAAAGCCCACATTTTCCAGTGAGAGTTTTAGCAATGCTCAAGGGGATAGCCTTCACTTACTAAACTCTTTTGCTCCATTTCTCAGTTGACCTGGCACAGTGGTTCTCACTCTCATGTGCATTCGAATCACATGGAAGATTTGTTAAAGAAAGAAAGAAAGAAAAAAAAAAAACAGATGGTTGGGCTCTGTGCCCAAAGATTCTGATTGAGCAGGTCAGGGATGGGGCTCTAGAATCTGCATTTCTAGGGGCTGGGGCTGTAGCTCAGGGGTAGAGCACTTGCCTAGCACATGTAAGGCAATGGGTTCGATCATCAGCACCACATATAAATAAAAGAAAGGTACTGTGTCCGTCTACAACTTAAAAAAAAAAAAAACTGCATTTCTAGCAAGTTCCCAGGTAAAACTGAGGCTACTCTATTGGGCACTCCACTTATAATCCAGGAGCATTTGGCTGAGGGAAGGAGTTTTATTTCTTGTTCCCCTCAAACTCCAGAAGCACCAAATGTTCTCAAGGCTGGATGAGTCAGCTGGATGGCCTTTGCTAAACTGGGGCTGGCAAACATTCCTTGGTCGGAATGAGTAACTCTTACAAATCAATATCCTTTTCTAGCTCACAGCCTTGGGGAGAAAGAAATGGTTATGGATTATAGTCATTTTGGTTCTAAGAAGAACACAAGATAAATCAATGCCAGCTGTATGTCAGTCTTGAAATGGTGATTTTATAAAGAGAATCCAAAAGGCACATGAAGCTCTCCTTTGATAAAACCCTTCAGAACACAAGGCACAAATAAACATTTAACTGGATTTTTTAATAAAGATGGAGCCAGAGAATTGTATAAATTTTTCTTAGAAATGTAAAAGACAAACATTTGTAGACCAGGGAACAGCATGAGAAATCCTAATAAGTTGTACGTTCATCTGTGAAATCAGCAAAAGACAATCAGAGCAGCCAGCCCCCAACTGTCCCCCCCGTGCTCTCTCTCAGGTCCTGGGCTCCACTCCAAGAGTCAGCACCAGTCTGAATCCTAATGGGGTAGGTGTGTTTCATCTGGTTTGTACTTTATATAAGTAATCAAGTTGTTCAGCATGTACTCTTCTGTTCTGCTTCTTTTACTCAACTAACTTAAGAATTCCTAAAATTTGCTGTCACCCAATCTGCCTTTGGCAGACCACATCACACCTTTCTCTGGTCTTTGACATCAGACTGGACGGTGGCGACCCAGCTAGTCCTCCCAACTTCCCAGCCCAGTGTGCCCCAGTGAGGCCACCCTGTGTCTGCACCTGGGCTCCAGCCCCCATGGGAAATGCCTTTCTTCCCTGTCTCCCTTTCTGACAATCAGAGGTGAGGCTGCATGCCCAGGCTGATGCTGGCCCGCCCACCTGAGGCCCTTTCTTTGCTCTCATTAGTTTGGGGGAAATCTTGCCCCGCATTTCCTGAGAGACTTCATGCTCACCCCCTCCCTTGGCTCCACAGTGGCACTGTCGTTTCAGCTCATATTTCAAGGTTAGAACTAGTCACACAATTCCTCCTAGCTTTAAGGCAGTTGGGAAACATGGGGAATATTCCATGAGTGTCTGAGTCCATTTCATGTAGTGTTAGCAGGCTAACTGACCTGGGTACGTCATAAAAGTAAAGAGGTTTATTTAGCTTATGCTTGTGGTGGCTGGAGGGTTCAAACATCATGGCTCCAGCTTCCTCATCAGGGTCCCCCAGCTGGGACCCTGACAGAGAAACCAAAAGGGAGTAACCTACTCTTGTGAGAGCTACATCACTACTTTCCTTAGATGGTGTCCTCATGACTTAACCACTTTCCACTAGACCCAACCTTTTAAAGTGACACCACCTCAACACGGTCAAATCAAGCCTTAGCACAACCAACATTGGGGGGACAAACTCAAACCATATGCAAACCTTAGCAGTGAGAATTTGTGACTCTGCTACAGTGCTCAAACTGACTTATCCTTGAGTTTGGGAGTGCCAGATTGTCCTTCTTGTACTTCTGCTCTTAGACACCCATGCACTCTGGTCCCTCTCCATTATTCTACAGCATGTGCTTTCTGTACACCCGGAGACCCACCCCCTCCCCCAGGAGACAAGACTGGAGGACATTTTTGATTGTTAGGATGGTGTGATTCTGGCATCTAGCTGGTCAAATCCAGGGATGTTGGGAAACATCCTACAATGCAAGGATAGTCTCCCATCATAAAGAATTACCCAGCCCTAAACACCAATAGCAGTGTGGTTGGGAGCCCTGAGCACCACTGTCCAGAGAACAGTTTCACCTATGCACAGGTCTTGCCTTGGCTCCATCTACATTGCACCTGCAGGTGAATACAGTCATGGTGGACCAGGCCAGGCTGCACTATGGACTGTGGCCTGCTGCCCTGGCCCCTTCAGTGTGACAGATGACTAGAAGAAATGAAGTGCAGAAATGACCAGCTGAGGGGTGGCAGAGAAAGAAACCTGAGTGATATTTGCAAACACTTCCCCAGGCTCAAAATACAGAAGACAGCAGCCAGCAGAGCTTCTCACCTAGAGGATTCCTTCCTTCACCCCTGCTGTGGCTGGGTGGCAGGGTGCCTGGAAGAGGAACTGGCAGGCCCCAGTGGGTGTGCTCAGGACTGCTTACCCTGAAGTCCATGTGTTTCTTTGTCGCTGCTTTTTATCTGGTTGGTGATTGAGCCAAGCTGAAGGTGACCTATGTTAGCTTCTGTCATTGCTTTTCACTGTCCTCACAGTGGACTGTGCTTATGGCCCAAGGGTTGTGCCCAGTATTGGTCTGTTGGGCATTCTAACTCTACTGTTTTTCTGCTGTTTGACTTTGGGCCAAGCATTACTCTCTGGACTTTAATTTCTATACCTGTGAAAGAATAAATTGATCTCTATAACATATGTG